ATGCCAGACTACTGTGTGGCAGATCTAGGACTGGATGGACTGAAACACAAATTATTTGGCAGGAATAACTGCTCAATTTTGTTTTTCATCTGTGCATTTATTTCTATGTGCAGTTTTAAGCAGGCCATCACCTTTACTGATGTCATCGGGAGCTGGCCGTCCCTTCTAGTTTCTTTCATCCAGCCCTTTGATGGTGCTGCACACTGTGTTCCAAATTGCCTTGAAGCCTCTAGGGATGCATGACTGGGGGAAATTTCCCCAATGGTGCCCAGATAGCAAAAAAAAAAAAAATGCAGGGTTGTTAAAATGATACTAAACTCTGGATTAAACATTATTATATTCCAAAATGTATTCTGAACTCAAAAAAGTATATCCTCTTGCTTTCAGCATCCCTTCCAAATATCTTTTTTTTTGCTGCCGTAATCCGACTTCCTTTTGAAGGTGTCTACATTCATTTCCCTTGGTCCCACTATATGTGTGAACATAGCCACCTTTTCTTGCTCGAGATGGACTATGGGATTTGTAGTGAGCATAGAGCAGTACACACGACCATAACCATAGCTTCCAACTGACCCTGATTTCGAGGGACTGTACCACAATTCAGAGCAAATTGCCTCTGTCCCTCTTTCTTCCTCATTTGTCCCTCATTTTGGTCTGATCTATGTAGTTGTATATAAAATAAACGATCTATCAAAAATTGTTTTACAGCGCTACGCCTTTCATCCAATTTCTAAATTGCTGCATTTGTAAACTCCAAAAGCCAGTATAACGGTCTAGAAATGGTAAAAAAAAAAAAACACTTGTGGGTTTATTCAATTATTTTTTGTACAATTCTCCTCTAATGGGGGGGGGGGGGGAGAGGCAGGGTGTGTGTCTTATAACTAAATACTTTTGCTAATAGGTGTCCCTCATTCCCATCTTGAGAGGTATGCTATAACTAACATGCACTGCATTGCATGCAGATTATTTTTGAAGAATATTGTTTGGCATCACTTTAACCACTCCCTACTCTATCCAAAACAAAAAAAAATGGCTATAACACACACTTTAATTCCTGAAGAGTTAAAAGATACAAAGTTACAGGGTTCATCAAATGTGTGCCTGTTCATGATCCGGTAATGTCTAGCAATTCAACAAATAAGTAACAGTCATCCGTGGGCGAGTCTGTCTGTGTCCCTGTCCTAGGGAACACAAAATTCGGGAATGTGTGAACTGTGCCACCTCCAGTAAGAACTGAACTGTATGTCTGTATCATCATAATGGGGGGGGGGGGGGGGATAAAACAAACATGAGACAAGGTTCTCACAGGACGTGGTGTAATAGCCGGCTCGGTCTCTGACGTTCTGTGGCCTTTACGCCTGCTATATTTTGAATTTTTCCTACTTAATCAGCCAGATATTCCCTGGCCGCTGACAGCTCAATCACCAACGTCATTCCTCGTAACACTAAAGCCCTATTTATAGTCCACCTGGGACTGGAAGTGGCTTACTGATTCCCTTTCGCTATTTAAAAATAAGATGTGATGATGTTAATAGGAAGATATAAAAATAATAATAAAGTGAACCTGTTCTTTTTTTAAACTTTTAAAAAGTCTTGTCTAAAAGCAGATACCACAAGATCCTTTCTAATACCCTCATTAGCAAGAATTGTGGTGCCCAGCTCCGATTTATGTTCATTTTTTCTTCCTTGAACCTGATTTTATGGTTAAGTATAAAGAATTATTATTATTATTATTTTAATACAGGATTTATATAGCACCAACAGTTTGCTCAGCGCTTTACAAAATGAAGGTAGACATGACAGTTACAATACAATCTGATACAAGAGGAAACAGAGGGCCCGGCTCGTTGGAGCTTACAATCTAGGAATAAATAAGCCAAAGTTAGATTAGATTTTTTTGGTCACAAAAACATAAAATATTACATATATTTTGTATTCATACTTTCACTAAGCAGACAGAGCTTTAGGTTCAGTTTAGTCTATCCTTATTAATGTTGTTGAAAAAATCTGTAGACAGATCTCAATAGCTCAAACCGAAATGTAAACACACAGCTGAAGTGACTCCTACCTTCTTGTTAAAGTTGTTGTAAACCTCTGACATGAAATATGAACAAAGCATATCCTTCTATAGTGTGTATTTGTCTCAATTATAAACACTAAGTGTCATTTCTGTCTGCTGCTTCATTCCTCTGTTATCAGCATGAGTCACTCCTGAAACCAAAAAAAAAAAAATGGTGACAGGGAAGGGAGCTCCAGCAGATTGACAACCTCAGATCTGTTCCTATGAGCTGCGTGTGTTGGGGGGGTCTTTTCCCTCCAATCAACTCTCAGAGCTTTCCTAACTAATCTCTGCGGAGTGTAACTTCAGCTTCCCAACCTTCTTTTTCCTGATCTCTCAGACAAGCTTAAAAAAAATTCAGCACTTTGAACGGATGTAGAGAAGGGAATACTGCAGATAAACAGGTACAAATTATGTAGGAGGATTTGTTTTATCTATGTGTATCAAATGAGGCCAGTCACTTGGGTATATGGAAGGGTTTACGGCTAATTTAATACAAAGTTTAAAGTGTCACGAACACTGATGGCGACCTCTAGTGGCCCACTGGCCGGAGTCCCCCAGGGCACGGAGTCTAAGCCCAGGTCTGCTGGTTCACCAGAGCCCCTGATGGTGGGGATGGACTTGAAGCAGACCAGGACCAGGTCATGACCCCTGAGTGACACCAACTGTGGTAAAGGCAACAGCCAATGGCGTGTAACGGGTAGGAGCCAGATGTGAAGAGGTGTGACGTGGTCAGGCAAGCCGGGTAGGTAACAGCGAGGCAGACGGTACAGATCGGTAGACAAAGAGTAATCGGGTCACAAGCCGGGTTCGGTAACAGCAGGTCAGACAAAAGGAGCAGGCAGAGGATGGTCAGGGCGAGCCAAAGGTCAGGGCAGGAGAAGACAGCGGTATCAGGTCCAGGCAGGGTCAGCAACAAGGCAATCAGCATACAAGAAGAGCAGGAACACAGGAACAGGGAGAAGACCATCAGGCAACTTGTGTCTGTGCAGGGCTGGTTTAAGTAGCCCGCCCAGCGCTGACAGGTGCGCCTGGGTCCTAGTGCCTGCCCAGCGCCGTCATAGGTGACAGGCGCACCTGGGTCCTAGTGCCCGCCTGCCTGCATGTCTTGTTGGACACCTACACATGTGCAGACTCATGCGTCGCGGTGGTCCCTGACAGTCAGTTCACCATTCAGAAAAAATAAAAAGGTGAACTAAAACCGTACACCCTCCCCACTCCCTGGTCCTTGCTGTACTTACCTCCGGTGATGCTGATCTGTCAGTGCTCACACAGCTAGTTAAGCAGTCCACACATTTGAATTTCCCATTCTTCTCTTTCTTCTCTGTGCAGCACTTCCAGGACAGAAAAAGTGCATGCGCTGACCAATCAGAATTGCTCTGGCCTGTCTCAGAAGTGCTGCACAGAGAAGAAGGAGAAGAGCGGGAATTTAAAATCCCTGGACTGCTGGACAGGCTGTGTGGGCACAGACCACTCAGCCTCCCCAGAGGTAAGTACAACAGGACCGGGGGGGGGGGGGGGGTGAACCGAACACTTTAAATCAGAGATAGAGAAATTAAATAGTTTATGCTCAACTTACTTTTCAGCAAACCTATTATGCTTTGTATAAGCAGTGGCTTCACTGCAGAGCACATACATGACCCCTATTAAGTCAGACACAGCTCTCCAATCAGTAGGGAGGAACACAATTCTTTGCTGATTGTAATTATAGGTCTGCAGAGAGACCATTATTTCTACAAAGAAATTAGGGTCCTTCTCTACAGCATGCTGGTAGGCGAAGGCTTTTCTACTCAGGCTGTGGCTGCTTTCTAAAGAAGACAAACTGTAAGCCTTTGCACGCCTTTTGCTTTAATGCATCTGGCATGTATTTAGCCATTTTAAACAAAAATTAATTTGTGCTTTACAACAAGTCCTCATTGACCTTGTAGCAGCAACCACTGTAGAGTAACCCTTCCTCAATGTTCGCAGTGAAAGATTTTTTTTTTGTTCACTTCCTCTACGTTGTACATAGCTCAGCTCTTCCCTCCCAGTAGTGAGTTGACAGCCTGCCAGCCTTTGAATCTCTATTGCAAATACAGAGCGAATGTACAGAAAGAGCAGAGAGCAGAGTGCTGAGACCAGATCTAATTGCCTTCAGTGCTACTATTGTAAATTTTAAGGATGAATGAGGGATAAATGAGGATTAATGAAAGCTTGTTTTAAAAATATGAAAATAAATGAATGTCTGTAGCCTGGTAACAGTCCTAATTTAAATATGTGTTTGTGAAAAAAAAAAAGATTTTTACAGAAATAGTAAAAAGTAGATGAAAAACTTTCAAAACATTAAAGTGGTCGTAAACCCTATATATATACCCAGGTAAGCAACTGGCCTGAGGTGCTACACAGATGAAACAAATCCTCTTACATACGTTGTACCTGTATATCTGCGGTCTTCTCTTCTCTACATCTGTTCAAAGGGCTGAATTTATACAGTTTGTCTGAGATTTCAGAAAAAAAGGGGGCGAAGAGCAGAAATTACACACTACAGAGCTCAGTGAAGAGAGCTCTGACAGCTGATTGGAGGGAAGAGACACACTCCTCTCCAAACAGCTCACAGGAACAGAGCTGAGGCTGTCAATCTGCTGGAGCTCCCTCCCCTGTCACCATTTTCTCTTGGTGTCAGGAAAACCTGTTAGAAGTTATAGATACTGATAGCAGATTATCGAAGCAGGAGGCAGAAATGTCACTTAGTTCTCTTAATTGAGACAAGTACACACTATAGGAGGGATATACTTTGTAAATTTTTCATGTCTGAGGTTTACAACCATTTTAAAAAAAAAAAAGCATTGTAAACCAGATTAGTCTACCATAACAATAAATAAACTTTCATAAAATGCATATAAATGTACTTCCACAACAAAAAAGCACTAGAGACTCATTTGACAGAATAAAGGAGACTTACCGTTTGCGACCCCCCACATTCGTTCCTCTTGAAACTGCAACATCTGATAGATGAATCCCATTCCTTCCTCCCCTATTAAATTTTTACTGGGTACTCGGACATCTTCAAAGAATATCTGAGCCGTGTCTGATGACTTCATTCCCATTTTGTCAATTTTCTTGGTAACATGGACACCTAAGAAAGAAAAACAAAGCAATATGGATTAAATAAGATTTCCAGGAAGAAAATTAAATCAAACTATTATAATGAACGATTGACTTATATATGCACCTAGTCTTTGGCTCTAGCAATATGATTTATAAAAACTCTAAAAAGGGTAACTACATGTTCTCAGATTACACATTTTATAAAGACTCAAACATGCCTGAGATCTGCCTAACCTTTAGCTGAACCATGAGATTGCTAACTCCAAGTCAATAAAAATAGGATATTTAACATCAGTTGATGGCATCACTGCCCTCCCACCCCCTAAAAAAATCATATTTTTCAGTTGCAACCAACATAAATGCATAAATGATTTTTGTCTGTCACCCTTGCTCTCTTGTAGTGGTCAATATAATCCCGCTGCCAGCCTGTTTCGAAATAAATTACAGCTAGTGTGGTCAGGGTGATAACAGTTTAAAATAAAGAAGAATTACAAAGCAGTTATACCTAGCTTTAACAAAGTGAAAAGTGGATGAGACCAGGAGGATGCAGCAAAATGAAAAGTGGATAAAGGAATGCAGACAACAAATATAAACTGGACAAAGCCAAGAGGATGCAACAAAGTGAAAAGTGAATGAGGACAAGAGGATGCAACAAAGTGAAAAGTGGATGAAGCCAAGAGGATGCAACAAAGTGAAAAGTGGATGAGGACAAGAAGATGCAACAAAGTGAAAAGTGGATGAAGCCAAGAGGATGCAACAAATGAAAAGTGGATGAAGCCAAGAGGATTCAACAAAGTGAAAAGTGGATGAAGCCAAGAGGATGCAACAAAGTGAAAAGTGGATGAAGCCAAGAGGATGCAACAAAGAGAAAGTTGGGTGAGGACAAGAGGATGTAACAAAGTGAAAAGCGGATGAAGCCAAGAGGATGCAACAAAGTGAAAAGTGAATGAAGCCAAGAGGATGCAACAAAGTGAAAAGTGGATGAAGCCAATAGGATGCAACAAAGTGAAAAGTGGCTGAAGCCAAGAGGATGCAACAAAGTGAAAAGTGGATGAAGCCAAGAGGATGCAACAAAGTGAAAAGTGGATGAAGCCAAGAGGATGCAACAAATGAAAAGTGGATGAAGCCAAGAGGATGCAACAAATGAAAAGTGGATGAAGCCAAGAGGATGCAACAAATGAAAAGTGGATGAAGACAAGAGGATGCAACAAAGTGAAAAGTGGATGAAGCCAAGAGGATGCAACAAAGTGAAAAGTGGATGAGGCCAAGAGGATGCCAAAAAGTGAATAGTGGATGAGACCAAAAGGAGGCAACAAAGTGAATAGTGGGTGATGCCAAGAAGATGCAACAAAGTGCAAAGTGGATGAACCCAAGAGGATACAACAAAGTGAAAAGCGGATGAGGCCAGGGGAATGCAAGAAAGTAAAAAGCTGATGAGGCCAGAAGGAAGCAACAAGATTAAAAGTTTATGAAGCTAAGAGGAGACAGCAAAATGAAAACAGGATAAGGATAGAAGGAGGAACTAAAGTGAAATGCAACAAAATAAAAAGTGGTTGAGCCCAGAAGCATGCAAAAAACTAAAAAGTATATGAAGAAAATGAAAAGTGGATGAGGCCAGAAGGACGCAACTTTGTGAAAAGTGGATGAAGTGAGAAAGTCGTAACAAAATGAAGATAGATGAAAGAGGATGAAAGAACAGCAAGAGGTTTGGTCAAAGCAAACACATTTCCTATAGTTTTCAAATGATCTGTTTAAGTTTCCAGAAGTAGAATTTCTTAAAAGTGTTATTTCAGTTTATGAATATCATATGGACACATATTCAAATTAGCTGATCACCTTGGAAGATTATACAGCAGTTTGCTTGAGCCCACAGTGTGTATGAACACTACCACTCATGTAGGCAGTGACACGTTGAGGAGCAGTGGCCTCACACAGGTCCTGATTTTGTAAACTCTTCCATGTAATTATGGCTGTTAACGTCATTGTAAAACAAAAAAAACAAGTATTTGTTCAGAGAAATAGTTGCTCTTTGTCTAAATGTACACATAATGATTGAATCAGAGCAATCACACTTTGTAATTCAAAGTGTTTGATTCACCTGAATATTTGCAAACAGATCCTTAGAGAATTGCGAAGTTCTGAAATTGAGGCAATCTATATTTATATATTGTCAGTTTGGACTAAACACTTGCCACCATTCAGATAATGGAAAAAATATGTGCATTATGCCCTGTTTATGAATTAATTAATCTATCACTACTAAGTAGTATTGTACAGTTAGGTCCATATACTGTATATTTGGACACAGGCACAATTTTACTTTTTTCAGGTATTTACCAAAACATATTCAAGCTATAGTTATATAATGGATATGGGCTGAAAGTGCACACTCAAGTTTAATTTGAAGGTATGTACATCCAGGTTTAGGAATTACAGCTCTTAAGAGTAGCCATCCCCCCGTTTTCAAGGGACTAAAAGTAATTGGACAAATGAATATAATCATAAATAAAATGTTGTTTTTTAATATTTATGGACCTAACTGTATATAATATGCATAGCACAGTTACAGCTAGAAGATGCGAGTACGGTGAAGTCACCTTAGACAATTAGTCATATATCTTGGGGCAGGTAAGACAATACATTTTCTGTCTAGCTACTAAAAGTGAATCACCAGCTTAGCATAATACACTTTCCTTGAATGTTGCTATGGCCAGACTCAGCGTACAGGAGAAGAATAAAATGAGACAATGAAAGCTTCCCCTCTGGCAGTAAACGTGTACTCTGGGCAAGGTCACCAACTCAAGAGATGTACCGCACACACAAAAGTGACTTCATTGATAGACAAGTCTGCATTGTAACAGTGTCTACTGCCCATCTAGCCGGGTTCCCACACTTGGCCTTAAGACAAAAATAGTCTGCAGGAAATATGGTTTTATCGTCAGTATGATTTTATAGTAAGTACAAGTCTTCACAGCAAGAGTGACTACCGTATATACTCGAGTATAAGCCGACCCGAATATAAGCCGAGGTACCTAATTTTACCACAAAAAAACTGGGAAAAACTATTGACTTGAGTATAAGCCGAGGGTATCAGTGGGAGGAATAGTGCCCCATCATTGGTGTCAGTGGGAGGAATAGTGCCCCATCATTGGTGTCAGTGGGAGGAATAGTGCCCCATCATTGGTGTCAGTGGGAGGAATAGTGCCCCATCATTGGTATCACTGGAAGAAATAGTGCCCCATCGTTAGTGTCAGTGGGAGGAATAATGCCCCATCATTAGTATCAGTGGGAGGAATAGTGCCCCATCATTGGTGTCAGTGGGAGGAATAGTGCCCCATCGTTGGTGTCAGTGGGAGGAATAATGCCCCATCATTAGTATCAGTGACACCAATGATGCGGCACTATTCCTCCCACTGACACCAATGACACTTGCTGACCCCTGTTGCAGTATGGTGCTGCTGTAGCCAGCATATGTGGTTGCAGCAGCACCTCTGCACTGCACACTTACCGGCTTTTCCCTCACTCGATTTTCGCGGGTCCGCTCGGCTCCGCCTCCTCGCCTGTGATTGGCCGCCTGTGTACCTTTCCTGAGCTACAGTTCTGGCGGCCAATCACCGGGGAGGAGGCGGAGCCGAGCGGCAGGAGTGAGGGAGTGGCCGGAGTGACGGAAGGAGCAGCTCTTCCTGGATGGATCATCGTGGGAGCCAGGTAAGAGACGGCAGCCCTCTGCCCACCCCTGTACGCGCCCCCCTTGACGCACCCCACTATTTGAGAAGCACTGGCTTTAGAAGCAGCGCCCCCTGCTAGACATCTGCAGACGTTGACTCGAGTATAAGCCGAGGGGGCCGTTTTTCAGCACAAAAAATGTGCTGAAAAACTCGGCTTATACTCGAGTATATACGGTAAGCTGTAGAACAATGACATTTCCCATGGCAAACTCCATAACTAGCTTTAAAAATGTTTTTTTTTTTTTTACAGGAAAGTGTATCAGAAGCTACAATTAGGAGAAAATGTAGAGGAACTGATTCATGCCACTTAAGAAGTTGAGTCTAATCAAAGCAGGATATTTAAAACAAGAAGCTATTGAAATTTCTAAATATAAGTAACACTTTCCCCTGTTGTACTTGTATGTGTAGGCTCTGTCTTGAATCCATCGTGACTTTCTGAGCCGGGGCCATCCCCCTCTGCTATACTATAAGGATTTATGCACAAATTAACAATAGAATCATGAGTTCTACCATTCTCCCTTACTTGCTGGTGTCAGCAGTCATGCAGTAGATAGAAATGTCACACATTAACCCAACTCCACACCATCACCCCCTGCCCATCCTACTAAAAAAAAACCCTTAACACAGTACTTAGAAATAATATGTACACCCAGCATTTAATATTCCTGCCTGCTGTACCATGTACTTGTATGAAAAAGTATCCTGTTCTCTTTGAATTGAATTGCTTCCTTTGTGTGAAATCCCTGGTGTTCCTGCCAGTCCCTCTGCTTTCAGATTAAAACAGACCACACTAAGCATGACAGCACAGCATGGTCAGTTCTCTTGCTGTGCTGCTCTTCTCCAATGATCAGACATTTGCTAACCCCCCCCCCCTTCGCACAGCCATTCACTGGAAAGACCAGTGTGCTGCTCTTCCTCCTCCCCCAGCTCTCTGTGCAGATAGGAAAAAATGTGATCGCTTAAAAAAAAAAAAAAAAAAAAAAAAAAAAGGAAAAGAAGGTATTTATAACGTTTTTATCCACACACAAATGTTTGACGTTTCATTTCTATTTTAAACTGAATGGGTTGTTTTACAAGGTGAGGATTACATACACTTTAACCACAGCACACTCTAGTGCTGCACTCTAGGTCCTTTTATTCCAGGATATTTGATGCCCAGCATCACTCCACCTACTTCCTGTTAGCCTGAGGTGTCATGGACACACCTTTTAGGATGTGTCATCAAGAAGCTCTGGGCCATAGGGGAATGATGCAGAGAAGTAGCCATGTTAGGCAAAAAGCGTTCTACCTAACCTGGAAATGGGCTTTAGGGTGACATATGCCCGATTCTCATGCTAAAGGATCAAACTCAAAGTAAAGCTATATACAATTTGTTCATAAGTTTGATGACACAAACAAACACATTTAAGACTTTTCATTTTTTAATTTTAAGAATATTCTTTTAAGAATATTTGAAAGAATTTTAACTTTAATTTAAAAAGGTAATTTAAACCTTTTAAAACATTTTACAAATTTGAAAAATAAGCATTTAAAAATGTAAATTTAAGATAAAAATTTAAGAATTTTAATTATAACTTTTAAGAATACTCATGTCTCTAATAAAGGTTTTGTTCACTACATATAAAGTGATACCGTTCCGTCCTGAGAAAGTAGATATAATCCATAACATGCGTCAAGAAGAAGTGGAGAGACGCTCCGCCATTGACCATGACCTTTACTTACTTTGTAGTAACATTTCTTGAACGAAAAACTGGTTATCTTCTCTTACATGCAAGTATTTGTTATAAAACTAAGTGGTATTTTAGAATCCAACTATCCATCAGCATTTATTTGTAGATCAATAAACTATTTGTACTTTCAAGCTATGGCATTCATAGATATCTGTAAAGTCTGCATTAGTATTTTTTTTTTTGGCTATCTATTCAGGTAATTAATAAGCCCAACCATGACAGGTCATTAGGCCAAGATACCCCTGGGAGATACAGACATAGTAGGAGGAAAGACTGATGGCAATTACCAACTAGCTATTCCTTTCCTTCTTTCCGAGTCCGAATTCTTAAGCCGAAAGAACAACTCGAATATTCTGGGCCCACAGCTCTGTCAGTCCTCTGCCTGCTGCAATTGATACACTAGAATATGAGAGTCTTCATGAATAAACGTCAGTGTGGAATTGCTCACTTCAGTTTCTCAGTTTTGCATTTCTCAACAGCCAGTGAATCTTATATGAAACTTCAGTTGAAGAGGGCAGAAATTACTTTATTGCTGGATCAATGGCCTATTCACACTCTGTGTTGTACTGCATGAAAATGTCTTTCATGTACAGTTCCCATTATTTACCATGGGCCTAATTCACAGTTATGTGCTGCAGATTGGTGGTTTCTTTAAAGGAAATAGGACATGTAGCATTTTGGTGCATTTGCATGCATTATACAGGCCTACTGAAATGAATGAACAAAAATATACAGTACGTATAATGTATTTGTGTGTCTTTTAAAGTGATTCTGTCACTATTTAAAACAGGAAAAGCGAGCACTCAAGAGAGAACTGAACTCTGGAAGCTGAACCCCAAAAATGTGCGGCAGAGGGTACAGGACTAGTCACCAGTATTGCCTGTGGTCTTCCTGCAGCTGATTTTTTTTTCCCTGCTATTGACTTACCATACTTTGTTCTGCACTGTGTCTGTGTGTGGAGGCACAATCATGGTAGAGGCAGGGCTTTGCTTTCTCATGTCAAAACCTCCAGCAAGGAGAACAGTGAGCAGAACAGCAGTGACATCTCCAAACCTCACTTCAAGTCTCCTGAGACTATCAGAGGCAGCAATGCCTTACATCTCACACTGAAGATATACAAGTATGAAGCTGTAGGTAACAAACTGCCTGGGTATTCTTGCATGCCAGGAAGTTCTATGCTATTTTTCAGTTCAAGACAAAATGGTGCATTTTAGGTGAACTAACACCCCGCACCCATCCTCCCCCTGGTTCCCACTGCACTTACCTCCCTGGGTGATTCAGTTTCACCGTCCATACAGCTCAGTGCAGCAGTCTTGGGGTTTGAAAACTGTGCTGTTCTTCCCTTTCTTTCCCTAGGGATGCCAGGACAGGTCAAAGTGGTCCTGATTGGTTGGTGCCTACAGGTGACCACGCTGTCTAATCCGAACCAATCTTACCCACCCGGCAACCCTATGGAAAAAAAGAGGAAGAACAGCACGGTTTTCAAACCCCAAAACTGCTGCTTTGGGTTTCTTGGACAGTGAAACTGAATCTCCCATGAAAAATAAGTGACACAGGGACCAGGGATGGGGGCTAGGGGTGGATGCGGGAGGGGCAGGGTGTTAGTTCATTTTGAACCTAGACTTTAAAGTCATGGACAGCTCCTAGAAAAGAGCAATTTGCTCTCTGGACCTGAACTGAGTTGTTTGCAGCACTCCTAAGTCCTGCCTGCTGTGTCCTGGGAGTGCAATGATAAGTAGATAGGTTCAAGTTAACTTACCAGGTGTCTTCATAGGCAGACAAATAAGTGACTTATTTTTGTGTGAAGGACCAGTGCTGGTGTTGGTGAGGAGGCACATCCAGTCGGCTTGGCATCCGTTTGTTATCCACATTTTGCTACCGTTAATAACGTAATCATCACCCTTTTTCACTGCCGTGGTCTTAATACCTGGAATAGGGAGAACAGAACAGTTAGCAAGGTTTCCTACCTCTTTATAGGTTTGTGTTTATATCGATCATCAAATCATTTAGTGGAAGCTGTTTATAGTTTTCTTTTCAATAGATTTTTATTAATTCTTTCAAATAAGAAATACAAATGTACAAATAATTAGTGAACATGCAGGGGTTAGACAAAAAAAAATGGAAACACTACATAATATGCAGGTGTGGAAGTGGCAACATTTATATATGACTGCAAAGTTTTGCTCCCATCTAAGACACACAAAACAATCATTTTATAGACTAGTCTCCTGCTATTTGCTGTTTTAATACAGAAAACCGTCTTTGTTATCTTGACCTGTATTATAATTGTATTGTAATAGTCAGCACTGTTGTCATTTTATAGAAAACTTTTTTCATTTTATAGTTATAATTTAGCATGATAGGATGAGCTCCAGAGGTTATGTTTGGCATGAGTGGAGAATAATTGGTTGGAGGTTGTAGAATGGTTGGCAGCCATTGTGTTGGCTGGATAGCTGAGAGTGTAATAAAACATCTTAATTACATCCTCTCCTGCCAAGCAAAGACCTCAAATATGTCAGCAAAAAGAGCAGAACTATAGTGTATGGAAAACTATAGTCAAAAAATTTCCTTTAACCACTTGCCCTCCAGAAGATTTACCCCCCTCCCTGACCAGGCCATTTTTTGCGATACGGCGCTGCATTACTTTAACTGACAATTGCGTGTTCATGTAACACTGTATATAAATTATATTTATGTTCTTTTTTCCCACAAAAAGTAACAATTTTGAAAAAAAAAAAAAAAAACAATATTTTTTTTGACTTTTTGCTATAAAACATGTCCAGTAAAATTTTTTTTAAAAATCACATTTCTTCCTAAATTTAGGCCAAAATGTTGTCTGCTACATGTCTTCGCTAAAAACAAAATCCCAATATATGTAAATTAATTAGTTTACATGAAAGTTATAGCATCTACAAATGGTGGTATATATACTGGAATTTTAATTTTTTTTTTATACTAGTAATGACGGTGATCAGCGACTTATAGTGGGATTGCTGTGGGCATTCTGACACTGGGGGGGAACTGACTGCCACTGATATCCCAATGACACTTATACAGTGATCAGTGCTAATAAAAAGCACTGACACTGTACTAATGACACTGGGCAGGAAGGGGTTAGCATCTGGGGTGATCAAAGGGTTAACAGTGTGCTGTGTGTATGATGTGCTGTGTGTGTTTTACTAGGGGGACATGCTGCTGTGTATTTCTCTGCACAGCAAATCGCTAGTGCCATGCAGGTCTCTTGCAGACCTGTCAGTATATCTGCTTGCCCATACAAGATGTACAGGAAGCATGGGCAAGCAGATATACTGACAGGAAGAATCAATGAACTACCATGGTGCTCCATAGTGCCGTGGTACTTCATTGAGAACTACAAGCCAACAGCCGCAAAGGCTGTCAGGACTTGTAGCTCATTCATTCACAGAACACCATGAATGAATGTTATGGCCGGGTGGCCGAAGCCCCGCATGGCTGCCTTTTTAAAAAAATTGTGACAGCTAGTGGGGAGGAGAAGATCCCTTGCTAACTGTCACAATGGGGAGTACGGAGGAGCAGGGGGGTTGGTCCATTCGTAACATGTTACACCCTGAATATGGGTGTAACATGTTAAAAAAGGTGAACTATCCTTTAAGCCAGTGGTTCTCAACCTTCCTAATGCCGTGACCCTTTAATACAGTTCCTCATGTTGTGGTGACCCCCAACCATAAAATTATTTACCCAGTAATTATAATTCATGAGTGTCGTTTTACCTCCAATACTGCTGCTTTCAACACAGTAGCTGCTTTTAACAGAGTAGCCGCTTTCAACATAGCAGCTGCTTTCTACACAGTAGCTGCTCTTTACACATCGGAAATATGTGTTTTCTGATGGTCTTAGGGGACCCCTGTGAAAGGGTCGTTCGACCCCCAAAGGGGTCGCGATCCACAGGTTGAGAACCACTGCTTTAAGCTAAAAAACACTGAGGGTTTTAATATTACTTTGAATAGAATCCTCCCCTTTATAATATCCATCTCCTTTCCCTCAATTTGGGTAGAACGTGCATACACAAGATATGAACTGCAGTACCTAGGTCCATCATAACACTTAATGTAAAAGTGTAAGAAAGCGAGCGCTGACCCGTCAGCAGCTGTGGACTCAAGGTAACCAACAAAACCCTAATGAAATCAGTAAATAAAATAGTGCAGCTCTAAATTGATGATTCAAATTATAACCACAGGTGGAATAAATAAGCAATAAAATATGAGCGTACTTATGAGTATTAATACATATAGATATAGAAACATATGATGAGTGTCAATCCTGAACAATATAAAATAACATTGGGCAAAGCAACCCGTAATGGTGACTAAATAGTGCCCTTAAAGTCCCCAAAGCTTCAAACGGTGCTTGTGCTAGCAGAAGAAATGCGCACTCACCGGACGCGCAATAGTAATGTACGTTTAAATATATTATCCTGATGTCATCAAGGTAATCATCTGGACCAGTAGGTAGAAACAACGGCTCCCACTCAGGGTGGATGGGTCCTGGGACTTTAGATGTCGATGATCCAGGGGTGTCCAGAGTTCCCCTTAAGGGATAGGTGGGTGCAGCTCACAAGGGTTAACAGGAGGCTCCCTCTCTAGAGGCAATGGGCTGGTGCTGGGCATCTAGAAGATTAAATGCTCCCCACAGGGGTCAAAATGGAAGAATGCCTATAGTGTAGTATGTTAAGTAAAACATTTATTGGTAGATAAACATGATGCATCTAAAAGCAAACATTAAAATTCGATTGGACTGACCGTCCCTGAATAGAGATGGCCGCCGGAGCTCCATGATGCGTAACGTCACGGGGTGAGTAGGCTCCTCCTTACGCGTTACGTGCGCATGCACGTCATCAGAGGAAGAAACCTTGGTTATTTTATATTTTTTGCCCAATGTTATTTTATATTGTTCAGGATTGATACTCATCATATGTTTCTTATATCTATATGTTTTAATACTCATAAGTACGCTCATATTTTATTGCTTATTTATTCCATCATAACACTTGTACTTCTATCATGCAGTGGGGTAAACCTTTAGGAAACATCAACGCGTTTCACCTTGACGCCACACACTTTTTCAGGATATGCATTACACATGTTCTGAATGTCTATTTAAACTGATCAGATTAACCCTGTCTTATCCACAACTGGATATCCTCTTAAAGGGGCCAAAACATGGCACATCTTTCTTTGGGTTTCCTAGTGTCTTTACCATATGTTTTGGATACCTTGATGTTTGCAGTGTGGTCTTGAGATTCATTCATCACCCCATTCCGATAAAATGTCATCACTAATATGAAGTGTTCTAATACAATCCATCTAACATGAACATCATTTATTTCAGTACTCACTTGGACATTTTTTTGGACAAGGTTGCTACACAACCAGATAAGGAAAAGATGATATGCTTTACATTACAGCACCATAATATACAAAAGCACCCCTAACTTAAGGTCCTGAATTAGACCTTGTGGTGCTAGGGTGGTACATGTCTATACTATAAAAAAAATGCAGTGCTATAAACAAAAGGATAGTGAATATAAATCAAATATATACAAAGATAAACAATAAATGTGCAAATCTTGACAAATATACATATATAAGGTCCAAAGATAAAAAACAAAGTCCCCGAAAAAAGTCCACCACGGAAAAGTGCAAATATCAGTGATGTTCCCAGGATGGGAAGAATAAGTCCTTCCAAATGGACTTCACACCATCCAAAATGATAAATTCACCAATTCACCACAGTGTATGCAGATCCACCTTACCAGATAGTATGACCACCAATAAAGGGATGGTCGCACAAGCTTTAAATATCATCCACGCCGGAATATCTCTGTCTTTCACAGCTGAACTCCCCCCGCACATCTCATCACAAAAGGCGTCTGTTGGCAAAAGATGTGCTTGGAGACTTTATCTTCATAAAGTAGATGTTTATCGATCATGGATAATCCATTCAACACCAACAACACATTTCCCTATGCCAGGACGGTGACTTCTTCAGGAAGGTGTATGAAACATATTTAGAGATGTCCTCTCCGTCTCCTCATGGGTCCATTTGAAATATATGTATTGGTACATGTATATATCCAGGAACATCCTTTAATGGGGAGATATTGATAAAACTCATCTATTCTAGGTCTAGTATGTGTAGCAAATACTGTAAATGAATAAACTTCCCAGTAATGCTTTAACTAGGCTGCAGCTAGAGGGAGCTCTAATGATTTTTAGTGAGACTTCAGGAGACTGATACCAACAAGCACACATTTAACTGGGAATGCAAGTGAGCAGCATGTGTTTTCGGTTCTCCTCTTTAAATATATATAACGCAGGCTGCATCTTTGTCATACCTTGCACTTAGATTACTGATTATCTGGTAACATATGCAGCTGAAAAACTGCTTCTTTATTTTTTTATTGCATTTTGAGAAGCAACTCAAAGAAATGTGTTGCCACTTGACTACTTGACTTATGGATTCATTTGTAATAAAATCTCTTAAATGCTCAGCCATGTGGGTGCTAACCTCCCTTTTAGTCTTTCCTATATAAATTAAACAAATCAGCTGACAAATGCCTTTACATGGCAGACAATTCAAGAACATATGGCTTTGTTGTTATTACATACATATTTGATGTACATTCCCTAATCCTACATTCCTCAACTGAACAAAAATCATCCAGATCATCCTCTGTCAATATTGTATGTAAATGACTTTCAAATGTACAAGCAGAGACTGGCACAGCGAATGACAGGGCTTAATTAAAATATGTTTCTACCTGGCACTACAAACCCACTCCTTATTAATGATGAATTGT